CTCTTCCAAGTTCCTGTTGTACCTCAATTTCAACATCAATTTAAATTCCTCAAAGATGTTTTATGATCTTGCAGAAACAGCAACTCCCAGGGTAGAGCCTATCCACAGAGCTTTTACAGCATCTCAGGCTCAACTCCAGAGACCTGATGACGTGGTTTTGGTGGCTTACCTACTTCTGAGGCATCACTATTGTCCAACACTGAGATGGAGTTACACTTCCTTCAAATTCAAGAGTACATGTGGGAGTCTTACCCACCATTTCAAAGAGAAATACAGATAATGAAGACATAGACAGATATGCACTTTGCAAATAGCCGTGGAAGAAGTTTATAACCTGCTTAGATCTCGCTGTCAGAGCTGCTGCTGTCACCACTCTGAAACTACTTTACTTATCGCCTTTGGGAATCAGAATTTGCTAACTGATCACATAAATAGAAGACTTGAGGGGAACATAACTTCTATGAGCTCATCACAGATGAGCAACTGGACACCAAATGGAGATGGTGAGATATTATACAACACAGATGGATTTAGAAGAGGATATATCTTTATAGCTGAAATCTCAGTGTAAAATGATGCTTCAAAAAATGTGTCGGGAATTAAAACCGTGACCATTTCAGGAGCTCCTGATCTGTTCTGGAGGCTGCCCTATTTGCAGTAAGCATCCCCAGAGTCTCTCTCCAGCAGAAATGCCACGTATCCTCATATGCCCTTTGCAGTAGATGAACTCATTTTTATAAATCCTCATTAGCCACAAAAGGACAGACTTTTTTAATATCAGTATCTTTTGTACTACTTTTTGATCTTCCTCTTGTTCCTCTTTTCCTTTTACCAGTATCCACATATTAAACACGTATTTCAAGGAAATGTGTTGGGTAAAATACACATTAAACAATTCAAAACTGGTGTGCTCTGAAGTTCATAGCATGTCAGTGATTTATAGGACTTGTGCTGAATTCCTGCAGAAGGAGGCAAGTTTTACTTGCTGTGTGTAACAATTCGTGTGTGTGTGTGTATATGTAATTTCTATAACGTAAAGGCAAGCAGTTGCCTGTTTGCAATACTGTATGAACAGGCAGGGCATGTCGATGCTGCATTCAGAAGTGTGATTACATCTTTCCCCAAGCTCAGTTTCATCTATCCAGCCACAGAACTCCAGCAACAGCAGCTGCAAAGCTGTAGTAGGCCAGATTTCAGAGCAGGTCCTGAGAGCCCACCTGGGGCTCCAGTTTGCCCTTGCTATATGACACATGGCTTCAACTCCCATCAGCACCTTGATTCATTGGATGTGTGTTTCTTAGCTTGGCAGTTGTCATTTCCAGTGAGAGCCAAGTTCAAGGCAGACCAGTGGCCAGTGGGAAAATGGAAAAAGGAGATTTCCTAGCTGCCCAGCTGGGCTGTAATGACTGTCTCAGATACCATCACAGAGGAAGCAGATCCAGTCACAAAAAGAGGGGGTAGGGAGGGAGAATGTGTGGGAAACAAAGACAATTTTAGAAACAAATAGAGGAAGCTTTCCATAGGTCAATGCGTAAGACTTGCTAAATAAAGCAAACTATTCCTGGCAGTGACATGATGGTCTGAGGGGTTTAGGCAATCTCTAGGGAAAGGCAATGGTGGTGGTCACATCAGAGCCATAGCTGCCGATCTTGGAGGTCCTCCTCCCACCTCAAACTGGGCCTGTGCAAGCAACAGGGGCCGGGGCAGTGGCTGTGACTGTCAGAGTCCCTCAAAGCTCACAAGAACACCACAAAACTCATCCATCCAAATGTTTCCTCAGAGCAAAGTGTACTGTGTATTTCTTGCTGGCTTTGTTTCATTAATGAATTGTAGCCTATTCGACATAACAAACACTGAACGTGAGGCAATTAGTAGGGGAGTCTTCAGTTACCAGAATCCAAATCTCCACAGCTGTTAATCTCAAGCTACCAGTAGGGATTCCAGGAGTAATGTTTTCTCTCTAGATGCCACAAACATAAATGGGTTAGTTGGGCAAAAAGCAACCTTTTGCAGGACATCTAGTAAAGGAGTTCTGCTTGCTTTCTTGCTGGTGAGGACTGAGGGAGCTGATTTTTACCACTCTGGTTATCTACGTAGTGTTCTGTCTATGCATTCTGCTCTTCATAATACACAAAGGAAGAGGGAAATGTGTGCATGGAAGATTTTCTATCCTTGTTTTTTCATCCTGTTGAATCTACGTTTCTTTGTTAAATTGTTAACCTACAGCATAAAAGCAAAAGGTTCATTATTAAAATATGGGTGAAAAGCTTTGGGATGGAGGCAGTGTTCCTCCTGAAGCCATGCCAGCCTTGGACTCAGTTTGGTGAGCATTTCTATTAATGATGAGGCCAGGTTAAATTAGTTTCTCCTCTTGATCATTTCCAGTACTTCCAACTGCTATAAGTGTTTGTAGAACCATTTAGTGAACAGAACAAGGGAAGTGATTTGGGTTAAAAATAAGAAAAATAAACAAAATAAGCACCTCTACCTTGCCCCCCAACAAAAGATTCTTTCCCTCATCTCAGTTTCCTGATCTGAATCTGTGCTTGGCTCCATTGTACCAGCACAACTGAGAAGGCAGCATGGGATGGGAGTAAGCGAGTGCCAGAGGTGGAAGGGATATGTGCTGGCTGTTTATACCACACCACCACAAGAAGAAACTCTCATCCCACTACACACACAGGACTTTTAATCTATCTTGTTGACCATCTCCACAGAGTCAAGAGTTATAAGACACCAATGTTGCAAACCCCATACTTGAGTCATGTCTTGACCGTACATAGATAGTACCAGTGTAGTGCCTGAGTCGTTACGGTGCCCAGACCTATATCCCCTGCAAAAAGGACAGCAGTGTGCTATTGGGGAGGGAAGAGATGTGGGTAGAGAACCTCACTTGGTTTGCTACAGAGCTTAACACATAACTGGATTCTTAGTGATGAAAATGACTGTGTTTTGAGGAGTTGTGGCCTTCTTGCCTTCTCTAACTGGCTTTTTAGAACACAATGATTGAAGTATGTGTGGTGGAAGCCCAGGGCTGTCTCTTCTTGCTGGCTTCTCATATTCTGCTGTTACCAAATGTGTCAGCCTTTTATTTAGCTGCTTTGTAGATCATAAACAGTTTACACTAATGAAGTTGCAGGCCAACTCTCCAGAGCTCTGATAAAAATCTATAGCTTTCTAATATTCAGGAAAAACCACAACAGTAACAAGGAGTGTATTGTGTAGGTTTGAGACAAATAAGCAACAAAGGAAAGTTTGTGACAGGTTGTTTTTCCTTTGAATGTCAAGTGAATAAATCTTCTCCTTTTTGTGTGTTTTGTTACAACAGATTTGCATTTTTATCGGAGAAACTCTTCTGTTTTCAAACTGGGCTATCACAGCAGACATACTAATGGTGAGTGTACTTTGGAACAGCATCTTTCTCTTCTGGTGGCCAGAGCAGTTGGTCAGCTTGCAAGAACAACCTGAAGTTCACAATTTCTTCCAAATTCCTAGCCCCTACTTCAGCTTATTCTTTTTTTTCTTTTTTCTTTTTTTTTTTTCCCCAACTAGCTGAAAAGGGAAGTGAGATAGAGAGAAAGAAAAAAGATTCTTCTTGTCCTTTGTTCTGAGCACAAGGGAGAGATGTCCAGAAAGGACACCATTAGTGAATTCAAATAGTTTCCCCACATTTTAAGTATTTGCACAAAACCTCACATGCAATGAAATCAGCCAGTGTTTCCCACTAGTCAGCACATTAGTGGATTTTGTTATCAATAACTCAGCTTTGTTCTGCAATAGGAAATCCTTCCCTCCCTCCCTCCCTCCTCTGACCACAAAGGCAGCCATCTACCTCTCTTTTTGGCATATTTCCAGCAAACCTACCATTCAACACATACACAATAGAAAACCACCTCTGGGAGAGGAGAGAGGAAGAGAAAGTATAAAGAATTTTTGGACTATGTCCACCTTGTCCAAGAGGAAACTGTCAGGGATTTTTCACCTCATGTCCTTCATTTTCCATTCTTTTGCCACCACAGACCTTTTTAAGTCTTTCAAATCAGCAAGCTGACCTCAGCAGCCAGATTTTCATATGAAATAGTCTGGACATTGTTGAGAGCCTTGCATATTTTGTAGAAGCTTCCATCAGAGATGTACAGAGCCTATCAAACATATTGTATGTTGAAATCCCATTGTAAGGGAGGTTACTTGTTGCTTATTGTATGAAGAAGAAAGAAACTAGGGCACAGGACCCTTACAGGACTTGCCCGAGGTCTTTTGGCAGCTTGTTGACAGAACTAAAAATATAATCAGTCTGGCATCAATAGAAAACTCCCTTGACTTGTATTTGTTGCTTATGCAAACATCAACAAGAAAACAATTTGGCTCAGTATTCCTAGATGTAAAGATAATGGTGTTGATACATTGATTCAGCAAAGAACTTCAAACTTCTGCTTAAGTTCTGTTTATGATTTAAGTTCAAACGTGCTTACGTTTGAAGGTAGCTCTGTTGTTGCCATAACTGTGTTGCCTGATGAACCTTCAGTCTTTAACTCATTTGTGCAGAGAACGCTTTGGGAGGTGGGGTGGGGTGGTTAATTCCACTTAGCTCAGATGTGAATAAAGCACAGGGAAGCAAAGGCTATCAGTGCACTTCAGTAGCATTAGATAGCTTTTAATTACCGAGGTTCATTCCTCCTACCAGTTTAGCTTTAGTGTGATAGAGCTCTGCACGGGCTGAACGGGGGTTTCCTCTGTGCTTACGTGGGGTTTGTAGCTCGTGCCAAGTTCAAAGCTTCTGTGGCCGTTCATTAAGTGTTATCTCAACACTTAGGCAGATGTGCAATCTACAGACAACGGTGTTGAGGAAGGAGTTCCAGTACAATATTTGTAGTTGCTCATTACTGCCTCCTGCCAGAGCTTGCTGTCGCATCCTGCCTTTGGCCAAGATGTTCACAGGAGTGCTCCACACTCTCTCTGGTCAGAATTGTCTGATGGGTTTAACTAGCAGATCTTTTATATCCTCACTAGCATTGGCTGAAACAAGTAAGGGCCTGGCCATGGAGCACATCTGCAGTCCTCTGGCAGTGACTCTCAAAGAGCAGCTGAGATAGTCACCTCTGGTGCCAGCAAAGCGCAGCTGGAGGGAGGGAACCTGTCGGACACGTGCAAGGTCCTCCAGAACATCTGTGCCAGAGAGAGAGACGAGACTTGACCTACATTGTCTCAAGCTAACCCCAAAAGATACTTGTCTACCAACCACTTCATTATCAGGTGTACTAAGGATGCCATCATTTTCCCACTTTAATTACTCAGATTTATTTGTGTTGAGTTCAATGTGACTTTGGTACCCTATAGCTTCTTAATAGCTTTTATAGGGCTTGCCAGCTGGCTTATCTGACTAGCATCCTATAGACAGTTGTGTTTTGTACTGATGCATTTGCAGTTATTTATATAGCTTTAGTGCAAAAGAACTCCATAAGAAATGATTGGAAATGATTGGGAATAATTTCTTAGTTCCAATTTCCAAAACATGAGAAAGAAACTAAAACCATGTTAAAAATTGGATTTTGGTTATTGAAGCCAACTCTTAAGCTAACTGTTCCTATTGTTGGTTTAGAAAAATGAACTGGGTGTCATATAGAATGCCCAGCTTAATGCATTATCAGCACAAGGAGATCTGCAGAAGTGCTATACAAATAAATGTAAACATCCACTTAGATCAATGCAAGCCTGTAAACAGATGGTCTGAAGTGCATTCATATTACACAAGGGATTGGAGAGGATGTTTAGTCAGACAGTAGGTGAGAGCCAGGGCTATAACCATGTTTGACAGACAGCTTTATAAGTCCTAGCCAGAGAAAGGTGTTGGGTATGCTTTAGTGAGATGCACTTTCAACGTCTGGCAAATTAATTTCTACTGATTACTATTTATTTGGTGTAATCAGAAGTGTGTCTGTTCTTGCCTGAGGCTGGAAAGGAGTTTAAAAGCATTATTAGTATAAGCTTAACAACACTTTCATCATATACATAAATATTATCCTGTTTTCATGGATAAAA